GCCCACAACCCCCAGGTTTTTTCCTACTACTTGGGGTTTGGAATCAACCTGGGGTCTGCTGGGCAGTCATGCCTGCTGCATCCCTGCACTGACACATCATATCGCCTTTGCTCTTAACTACATCTGGGATTGGGAACACTAGTCGGAGCCTGGGATGCCCCATGTCTGTGCTGCCATTCTGCAGGGCCACCTTTATCTGATAATTAATAATTCCCCATCCTTGGTTCTAACCAAACTGCCTAGTGCTGTAGTCTCCACTTCTCAGTTTGAACTCTACATGTTTATCTGGGCCTCTGGTACCCAGTTCCCGGCCTCACTTTGGTTGATCCCCTTCCTCAGAGTCTGATACCTGTTATCTTGCACCCCATCTACTTTCAGAGTCCAGGTCCCAAGATGATAGTCACCAACCACATGGTCACAGAGCATCCAACCATGGCACCATTTGCTCAATGAGAGTCCTCTTGAATCTGCTTTGAAAATTCTAATGTGATGAATTATAGTCTTTTGACACAGGGAACAGAAAATGTCAGCGAAGGTATCAATGTCAGAGATAGAAAACCAGCATGGGGCCGTACGGCTCAAATGTACACTGCGCTGCATGGCGATTGTGGCGCCAGGAGGACTGGGGCAAGAACAGAATGGGAAAATCTTTGGGATAAAATACTAAGGTAACAAAGCAGTCATCATGCGGATTTTCATTGTGCTTGAACAAAAAACCAAACCACAGCTGCGGTGGTTTTCCACCACAGTGAGAGCACCAAGGGACTCTCTGAAAGGTCAGTCCTTAGCCAAGTCTCCTTCTCTTTGACCCTCACCCGCACATGCACCTCCCCCCAGAGCGGCTCCATGTCCAGTTTCAACATGTTCCCAGGTCCTCACAAGTTTGGGGTGGCAACAACTCATGCACCAGTGTCCACATCTCCACCTACCCCTTAACTTGCCAGCATGGTTGGGCTAACCTCACCCACGTCACCCTGCAGGGTGGAGCGGGAGGTAGGGACGAGCACCACGAGATCACGAGACAACACGTGATCGCAAGATCACGGCCCGACAAGGTGGCCGTCGTCTGCAGGCACAGAAGGGGTTCACGAGAGCATCTCCTACCCACGATTTACATAGACAATACAATGGCATTTTGTTGGACTAGTCACATTACAGACACCTGGGCTGGGAAGGAACCCTTTAATCTACTTATCATGCCCCAAGGAGCACTGTTCTCAGGCCTTGTTTCAAATGAAAGAAAGACAACAGCTGAAGGAACAAAGTAATAGCGCTAAGAATTCTGTGCTCCCTCTCGGTCAAATGACATAAATACACTCCATTGTATAAAAACACTGGGCTCTGGAGCCTTCTAAAATCTGAACTATTTGAGGATAAGGCCTGAGTAAACATGGTCTAAGACTTGCTTTATTTCAGTTCAACTCAGCAAACTGCGGCTGGACCTTCCAAAATGCCACCCAGAGAAGAACAGAATACGGATTCTTCAGTTCCTTTTATTCTACTCTGTCTTTTCTGCTTTCAGTTTTCCTTTGTCTTTGGGCTCGTTTTGCTCCCAGGTTTGCACTGTTGTCCCTGTCCTAATTTAAGATTTTGGTTTGGGTCAACTTACCTGACTTTGTCTTGGCATGTGCCCAATCCGCCTCCCTACCCAACGGGGGCCACCCATTCTTACTGATGCTGTAACTTTCTGTCTACAAAAGAGGCTTCCCTTAAATATCACACCAGGTTCCCCTGAGAACCCTATCCTCAAGGTGGCTTCTACACGTCCTATTTGTTTACCATGGAGACCACAGTTTGGGGAATAGATGTTTACCGTGGAACTGGGAGAACATGGGCTAGACTGATGCTGAGGAGAAAACACGAACAGCTATACACATGCTACACAAGGATGCAGCAGGCAAAGAGCATCAGACATGTGAAAGTCTATCAGTTCAGTTCAGTCACTCAGAAGTGGTGGACTCTTTGTGACCCCATGCACTGCAGCATGCCAGGCCTCCCTGTCCATCACCAACTCCCAGAGCTTATTCAAACCCATGTCCATCTAGTCGATGATGCCATCCAACCATCTCATCCTCTGTCATCCCCTTCTCCTCCTGCCTTCAATCTTTCCCAGCATCAGGGTCTTTTCCAATGAGACAGTTCTTTGCATCAGGTGGAGTTTCATTGCATCATTGGAGTTTCATTGTATCACTGGAGTTTCAGCTTCAACATCAGTCCTTCCAATGAATATTCAGGATTGATTTCCTTTAGGATAGACTGGTTGGATCTCCTTGCAGTCCAAGGAATGCTCAAGAGTCTTCTCCAACACCACAGTTCAAAAGCATCAATTCTTTGGCGCTCAGCTTTCTTTATAGTCCAATTCTCACATCCGTACATGAATACTGGAAAAACCATACCTTTGACTAGACGGACCTTTGTTGGCAAAGTAATGTCTCTGCTTTTTAATATGCTATCTAGGCTGGTCATAACTTTTCTTCCAAGGAGCAAGCGTCTTATTACTCTCATGGCTGCAGTCACCATCTGCAGTGATTTTGAAGCCCAAGAAAATAAAGTCTGTCACTGTTTCCCCATCTATTTGCCATGAAGTGATGGGACCGGATGCCATGATCTTAGTTTTCTTAATGTTGAGTTTTAAGCCCATTTTTTCCCTCTCCTCTTTCACTTTCATCAAGAGGCTCTTTAATTCTTCTTCACTTTCTGCCATAAGGGTGGTGTCATCTGAGTATCTGAGGTTATTGATACTTCTCCCAGCAATCTTGATTCCAGCTTGTGCTTCCTTCAGCCCAGCATTTCTCATGAGGTACTCTGCATATAAACTGAATAAGCAGAATGACAATATACAGCCTTGATGAACTCCTTTCCTGATTTGGAACCAGTCTGTTGTTCCATGTCCAGTTCTAACTTGCTTCCTGACCTGTATACAGATTTCTCAAGAGGCAGGTCAGGTGGTCTGGTATTCCCATCTCTTGAAGAATTTTCCACAGTTTGCTGTGATCTACACAGTCAAAGGCTTTGGCATAGTCAATAAAGCAGAAGTAAGTGTGAAAGTCTATGTAGTGTAAGAATTTCAGATTCCTCCCTGAACACAATATGAACACACAATTAAAGAAAGATACTAGCCAGGACATAGAGATCTGATTATCAGCCACTCAAGCAAGGAAAGTGTGATTAACAATTTCAGCTCCATCATGTGGTCCACAGAAATGACTCTAGATATTCTTGAGGTATGGCGGTGAAAACAAAAATATGGAGACTTAACCTAAAAATCTCCTTTCAGCGTGGGTATCATAAGACTCTTTTTTTTTCTTTCTAAGACTCATTTTTAAGACAAGGGTCCCCAAAAGGAAGCATAGCCTATGATCCTTGGGTTCCACCCCTGGTCATTCTATCCTAGTCTCACCAGTCTTCATGCTTTGGTAAGGGAAAAGTGGTGGGTTAGCATTGAAGATGGAAGAAGATTATCAGTGTAATTCCCAGTAGACTGTAGCAAAGACACTGCTGAGGCATGCCAGTTTCAAACGTCATTATTACATACTGAAATCTGTTTTATTTTCACACGGGGAATTGGTGTGGACAATGTGTGTGTTTACCAAGCATACTGACATCTTACTGCACCCAGCTCTTTTTAGAGCTGCACATATGTTGCTTAAAGATTATCAATAAAAAGCAGTTAAGAAAATAACAGGACAGAAAAGGGCCAGCTCCACGAGTCTGCACCAGTATCATACTCAAACATGAAAAAAATACCTGTGTCAGTTGTCCTTTGGGGCTGTGATAGCAGAAATGGGGAAAAGCAAAAACTGCTCTGCTACTTTAAGACGCGGGAATATTGGTGAGCAGTCACAATTTTGCTTCGCTGAAAATCTCGCTGAATATAATAGGGAAGTCATTGAATACGATGTCTTTCTATTATATCCAAGTGATTTTCACAGTAGGCAATCTGCTAGTACACCACAGGAGTCTCACACTTTGAAATAAAACGGCACCCTGAATAGAGTCTCATGTGCGATCCCTTTTCAGTCCAGAGCCCTGACTAGTTTCCTTACTCTTGGCTGAACGGCGGGGGTGACCCTTAAAGAATCAATGAGAAGAAGGAAACCACATAATGAGGTGGGGTGGGGTTTTTTTGTTTTTTTTGTCACTATCAATAATAACTGTGCTCTGCCAATTACTGGAGAGGTGATTATATATCGTATTTCGAAAATAAATTTGAAAAACAGATTTTTCCATTGCTGATGTGGTGGACAAGTCATTTGCAGCAGTAGGCAAAAAGTAAATCTAAGTGCATCCTGGCATGCTCTCCTCACACATCTGGTGCAATAACATGGTACATGAGTCAGAGAAACACTTCTTCCCATCCCTCTCTTCAAAGAGCTCAATATAAAATCCAGTTGCAAGGACATTCTGCACCAGGCGTCCTATGTGCTTAATTTTCTTTAAACAAGGCATTAATACAATCACAGTAGCGTCTAGTAAGATTTTTAATTCCTTGAGGGTAGGAACCATGGCTAATTTTTAATGAGTCCAATTTAGTGACAGCATTTAGTCCCCTTCTTAACAGAAACAACTAATAGAATACGCCTAGCCCTACAAGACATATCCATATAGGTTGTGTGACTGAAACCTCTGGAATGAAACATGAAATGGACTGGTCAATGTCCTAGATGTGCTCAGTGAAGATTGGTTTCCAGGGTTACTGACAGCAGAAACTGTAGTAAGGGTGTCAATGAATAAAGGGGGAGTTTTAGAAACATGATGCTATTTTACTGCAGTGTTCTCATTCGTGATTACAAGCAGCGTGAAGAGCGAGCCTACAGTGCATGATGCAGAGACACTACTTCCGGAACCTGCTCCCCAGAGGACCAGAGCTTTGCACACACATTCGTACCAGCCAGACCTGTGCCAGACCTAGAACCCCCGGAAGCAAGAACTCAGTTTAAAACAAACCAACCCTCTTTCTCTAGGTAACTGATACAAATTTAAGATAGAGTGGTACTCACAAATTCCGGGGTTCGGAAGTCCTGCTGACTTTTCAATGATCCAGAACCAGAGGCAGTTGTCTGTTCAAGGTTTTCCAAAGCTGAAAAGAAACAAACGGAAAAAGAAATGAGCATGAACTTTAACTGACTCCCATACATCTTTTTTTTTTTTCTTTGCTTTTAAGTCAGCAGCATCAGATTAACTACTGTGCCTGTGGCACACTCACAAATTGACATTATTTAATGCTTTCAGGTACCAGGACACTCAAAATCTTCAGCAGCTGTTTCATCTACTGGACAATGCCATGTTTATAGGATATTAGGCCTTAAAATGCTCTGGGTTAGATCTACCATGGAAAATCATTTAGCTTCTACATGTAAGGACACAGCAACTAAATGTTATACAATTCCAGTTCAGGAACAATTTAGCCTATTGATATTCTTTTTTCCTCTACTATGTCTCAGGAAATTGATGTGAAATCATTTTAGTGTAGTAATTTCAAAATCGGCTGAAAAGCACTATCTAATAGAAATATACTGGGAGCCAAACAAAATGTTCTAGTAGCTACATTAAGAAAAATAAATAGGTAAAATTATTTTTAGCAATAAGATTTAACTTGATATACCTAGATTATCATTTCAATGTGTATATTCAATACGAAAATTATTAGTTAAATATTTTACATTTGTGGGTATTAGTCTTATACTCACAACATCTCAGTGTGAACTAGCCACATTTCAAAATCTCAGTAACTTCATGGGACCAGTGGTTACTACACTGGACAGCACAGTGTTAGAAAGATAAAGAAGCCAAATTCAGAGAGTGGGCATTCTGCAAGACACTAGTCTCCTCTTGTAAACAAGTTCCCGATGCGAATAAAAGGGACTGTTCCAGATTAAACCACATTAAGAGAACAAACAACCATCTGAAGTGTGTGGTTCTGGGCTGGATCCTGCTTTAAACAATCCAGATATGAAAGACTTCCAAACAAAATCTGGAAAATTTGAATACTGATTAAATGTTGGATTATATTAATATCAATAAGTGTGATACTGCAATTTTGACCATGTAAGAAAATGTTCTTAGTTAAATAAACTAACGTAAATAATCTTAAATATCATTAAGCATTTAAAATAATCTCATGTATCAACAGATCCAGCCTCTTCCGCAAATCAATGACATGAAATATGTAGAGTATTAGAGCTTTGAAGAACTCTAAGGAGCTTCAAACAGTGTTCTGTGACAGCCTAGAGGGGTAGGATGAGCAGGGAGGTGAGACAGGGACCACGTATACCTATGGCTGATTCACGTTGATATATGGCGAAAACCAATACAATATTGTGAAGCAATTATCCTTCAATTAAAAATAAATAAATAAATAAAAATCAAGAGCCCTAAGGAACAGAACTCCAGTGAGTGTTTTTTCCCATGCCACCAAACAATCAATTCAGTTCTGACATGATCTACCTGAACGTAGCATCAGATTGCACAGGGTACGTACGGCCTCAAAACTGCCCCCATTTCAGATGCCAATTGAAGTCCAGGTTGCCACCTGTGCTTCTGACTAACCAGCTATACAAATCAGAGGTTCCCACCACCCTCTCCTCAGGTTCAATTAATTTGTTAAGAGTGGCTCACAAAATTCAGAGACACATTTCCGCACACTTCCCAGTGTGTTACAAAGGACAGAGATGCACAGCCAGATGAAGAGGTCCACGGGAACGGTGTGTGGGGACAGGGGCAGAGCTACCACCCCTTTCCAGGGACACCGCTCTCCCCACATCTCCACGTGTTCCCCAATCTGAAGATCTCCAAATCTGGTCCTTTTGGGGTTTTATACATGTATACATGAAAGTTACTCAGTTGTTTTCGACTCTGCAAACCCAAGGACTATACAGTCCATGGAATTCTCCAGGCCAGAATACTGGAGTGGGTAGCCTTTCCTTTCTCCAGGGGATCTTCCCAACCCAGGGATCGAACCTTCCCCCACCTTGCAGGCAGATTCTTTACCATCTGAGCCACAAGGCAAGCCCAACGGAGGCTTCATTATAGAGGCATGATTGGTTGATGATCAGTGGCCACTGGCAACTGATTAAACTTGTCCTCTCCCCTACCCCGGGGCCAGGGAGGTGGAAATGAAAATTTCTATCCTCAAATCACTTAGTGGGTTTAGTGGGTTGCCCAGGTGTCCAGCTCCCTACTCCTTTGGTTACCTAGGGGCTATCAGAGCACCTCATTAAACATAATAAAAGGCATCTTTATCCCTTTCATCACTTAGGAAATTCCAAATGTTTTTTAAAAAGGAGCTCCATGGGAATTCCCCAGAGTCTAGTGGTTTGGGTTCCAGGCCCTCACTGCTTCCATCCCTGGTCAGGGAACTAAAATCCCACAAGCCACAAGGTATGGTCAAAAATAAGTAAGTGTAAATAAACAAGTAAGTTGCTCTTGGGACTTCCCTGGTGGTCCAGTGGTTAAGACACTGTGCTTCTAATGCAGGGGATGAGGATTCAATCCCTGATTAGGGAAACAAGATCCCACATGCTGCATAGCATGACCAAAAAATTAAAAAAAAAAAAAAAGGAGCATAAATATATACTTCTTATTACAAATCACAATATCACAACAACCACTAGCTACATGTGGTACTCAACTGGATCCTAACTTCAAGAAACTAGCTATAAGGGTTTTTTTTATCAAAACTAGGGAGACTGAAATAAGCATTAAGCTATGTTAAATTACTTTTAATGTTATGAAATGTAGTGACTTTTAATTGCATGTTGATTTAAAAAAATCCATTAGAGGATTTTATGAACAAAATGGTTAGGTTCCTACAGAACCAGAAAAATTCCCTTCAATGGCCCAAAGGACAGCTGGGTATGTATAGGTGAGGGTCACTAAGAGATCTCTAAGTGTTAAAAGAAATGCCAGTACAAAAGGACACAAACAAATGATTCTAATGCTTCTGAAAAACTGAGTTCATCACAGTGAACCAAAGCAGAAACAAGAAATAGATGAGGGGAGCCAAACAAGGCCTGCAGAGCTGAGACCTGAGCCAAAATAAGGTGCCTGCTCCCGAGAACTCTGGTGGGTGACAGCAAGTATCACACAGTCTGTTACACTCAGGGAACTGGAATAAACCTGGTTATTTCAACATCAGAACAAGAGCTGTCCAACATAATTACATGCTTGCAGATCACCTTTAAAAGTTGTCAAAATATATGTTTAGACTAGCGGCTATGAGGATAGGTTATCAACTGGTGTTTTGTAGTTTGGTTTAGAGCAAAAAGAAAAGACCTAACCTTTTCACAGAAGTAAGATAGATAGTATCGAATAAATTATATCTGTGGTTCTTATGATTCTTTTTCTTTTTTTTCTGGCAGAACTAGCAAATCAATGAAACATAATACTGCAGGTATTTTTTTTAATGATTACCATCAATCTGATGGAATGACTTGATTTTGCATCTTATCTGTATTCCTTTATAAATAGATGCTCAGTTTATCCATTATGTTCCTGGGGTCAGCAGATGGGACAGAGCTGCTATCAGTGATTTTTTCTTTTAAACGAAAGGATAAGCTTAAGAAAGTACAAATTTTGCCTAAACACAGAGAAGAAAGCAGATGTATTACCCAGATGTTCTATCAAATTAAAGGCATCTATGCAGCCTGACAGGATTTGAGAGAGAAAATACAGAACTATTTATAGTTTCAGTTATTCTGCTGGTAATGGAAACTAATAGATTCACTAGTTAATGTCAACACAAAGGAGAAACTGTAAATTTAAGTGAATAAAACAGAAGTGGCTTTATTGAAACATCATCTAGGTAGAACAAAGCTGCAGCTGTTGCTCTTATGACCTAATATAGTACTGAGAAGCAAATGATTTACGATGCTAATATGATAATTATACTTCCCTACTAAGGGGCTCCGATTACTGCTTGATATTCTCATTTCTGGTAATCTAACATAGTTGAAAAAGTTCATTTCTCAGCAAAAATAAAACAGTCAAAATCAAGGTGACACTTTGAGGGCTTTTCATCAAAATAGGTGCAGAATCAGAGGGAAAAAATTCTAAAAAGGCAAAAATGTTCATTTTTGTTTTCTTCTTGACATGTCATTTTAAAATAGAGTATTTGGGAATGCATTTTTAGCATTGCCATAATGCCTTACTTTGTACTACAGAAGTACCTCCTTGAATGGCATCATGATTAGCTCATTTAGTTTTGGCACTTGGAATATAAAAAGCTTGTGGGACTTCTATGTTACCTGTTCATCAGAGCTGCTGAGAAAACTGGTTATTCTATGAAAAGTCTTTGCCTTGACATGTCAATAACATTTTGTATGGATGCAAAATTAAAGTTCAATTGGAAATCAGGTTCAACAAATATTAATTGCCTGGTTTATACATATTTTGCACAGTCATTGTCTTCTTCTGCCCTGGGGATACTAAGAAGAAACAAAGTTACCTCTTTTGAGTAAAGGAATTTGAAGCATGATAAATGCTATTTTTAGGATAATTAGTTAAGTGCTAGGCTAGACAGACTAATGGAGTATTGTAGGACTACCAAAGAAAACAATAGTATACACAGATATCAACTGATTTATTACTGGCAAAACTCAAATAATTGAGGATTTGGTCAAAAGAAATTCACTATTTAGTTTTCGTAACTTTATGAATCACATAGCAATTAGTTTAAAACTAAAAAAAAAAAAAAAACAAAAATATTTTTAAAACTTTATCAATGCAGTTACTACAGTAAGATTAAAGGAATAAAGTCATAGGTGGTACTAGTTGTGACATTCATGAAGGGCCCAATAGAAATATGTAGACATCCACTCACAATAGTGGGTTAATAAGAAAACAGTAGAAACCTCAGCAGAAAGTTGCAGTTCACATGACTACTTGTCCATCAATCAGAAATGAAAATCACTCTTCACTCTAATTGCAAAATGAAGAGAAAACTTCTACAGCAAAGATGAGTAAGATTTACCTAAAATGGGTAATAAAAAGACCCATTATCTACATTTTATAACTTAGATAATCTATCATCCATCAGAAAATACAAAATGACCTCATGAGAACCTCATGGGTAAGACCCAG